TTCCTGTTTACACCGGCACTCATGTACGTGAACAGCCACAAGATGTGTGTTTTCAGTCTTGAAACAGCAAGTATTTATTTGGCAAAACAGTGTAACAGTAGCACAGCGTTGTATACAGTAGACAAGAAAATGAAACCATAAACATGTGTAAACCAAAAGTATCATTTTTACTTATATTGCCAAAAATTACAGTTATTCTCAATTGCTAAAACACTAAACCCTATTGTCTGAACCAAATGCTCAGTTGCCTGAACCCACTGATTGAATCAATCACTCTTTTGGCAAAACCATAAGCACTTTTCACCTGTTTAGACACAACTTGCCAACACATTTTCATTGTGATGCACCCGTGCTGCATAATGGTCAGCACAGGTGTCACCACTTGATCACAACAACTCAAAATTGATCACACTTGTGGCTAATGATGTGAGGGAACATATACAGTAAGCAAATTCAGAGAGCACTGGTTTTTGAGGCCCTACAATGGATAGAAATCTGAGAGGAAGAGTTCGTGTGAGAGGAGGTCGAGGTGGTCAGTGAAGACAAAGAACAGTAATATCTGATGAAATCAGAGCTACTGTGATTGACCATGTCCTTGTCCATGGTATGAGCATGAGGGAGGCTGGACAAAGGGTACAACCAAACATCAGTAGATTCACTGTGTCCACCATAATCCGAAGATTTAGAGAAGAGAACAGGTAATTACCTTTTTTTGACAGTACAGTGTGTAAATGTTGATAGCAATTACTGTATGACATACTATATACTGTACCACAGTATACTGTAAGTAAATATATGTTTCAGTACATCTCAACCTGGAAGATGAGTGCTAGGACAAGGGAGAGGAATGCCCGGACGAGGATAAGGTAGAGGGAGAGGACTCAGAATATGTGGTGGTGCTCAAAGAAGGGCCAGAGCTTGGGGAACTGATGAAATAAGAGCTACTAACATAGACCATGTCAGAAACCATGGGCTATCATACAGAGAGGCTGGTGAACAAGTACAGCCAAACTTCAGCCGGGACACAGTGGCATCCATTGTCCGGACTTTCCAAGAAATAACTACACAAAGTATCTTTTACAGTTTTTTACTATTGACAATTATATGACAATTTTTTCAATACTTTTATCAATTTTCCTGAACTCAACGCACCAACACACCTACAACAAACAAATGCTCAAAATCACACAACAACTCCAACACTAATTTATTAACACTAATTCAAAATACAAAAATGCACTGACATAGCACACTACCAAATCTACCACATCTACCAAAACACAGCAAATATGTCCCAGAATCAAATAATACCAGGTGGAATTACAGAAACTGCATTATTTTATGTGTCAGGTCTGCTCCTTATACAATAGACACTATATTGTATTGATCATAGATTATGCTTTGCACTGCAGTGTCGTTGAGCCACCCTTACACCAGGGTAAATCTCCTGCAAGCCATGGGACTTGCCTGTGGTGACATGGGTGTGGAGGCATGCCAAGCCTGGATACAGCATGCCAGGGGTTTTTTCCCCCATTGCCTGGCCAGACAAAATGTGGCCTGCGATGTGGATGAAGTCCTGTGGCCTGACCCAGTACGGCGACATGATGCTGTGGCTGAGTAATGCACTCATTTGTATATTTTTGTACTTTATTTTTACATGGGCTTACTGTACACAAGTGGCAAACGCATAAGATTGTTTTTACAAGTGCTACGTGTAAATGCACAAGATTTCTGTTTTGTCTTTTTGTACAAGTGCTAAATGCACAGGTTTTTTTTGTTTTGCAACATGCATTTAGCCTACAGTGAACAATAAACATTTATTTCTCCAGCTTCATGTCCTGAGCATTGTGTTTTCTATTTTTCTACCTAGTGTTTAGTGACTGTTCAGTAGTGTTTTTAATTTTGATTGACTCGGGGCACGATTTGACAACATAGTTCAGTTTTGAGCATAGATTGAACTGTTTTGAGGTGAAAGTTTGGTTTTGCAAGAAGAGTCTGAGGTTTTGTGAATGTAGCTTGAAAATTGGGTTTTGTGTTCACAGTTTAGAGAAAAGGAGATCAGCTTTCAAGAAATGTGTCTTAGCAATCGAGAAAAACTGTAAAACTTATTTTACAACACTGTGCTGCTGAAATAACCATTAGATTGCTGCAACCTAATTTCTGAAGGTTCAAATTATGGACTCCACTGTAAAGTGACTCAAGTTGGGCTGGACTCTCAGTGCAGCTTCTTTCATTGTCAACCTCTGGTTGATCAAGTGATCAATAAGTGCGGCCCTAATTTCATCAGTGATGGCTCTCCTTCCTTCTCTTCTTTTCCCTCGTCCTATTCCACTTCCTCTTCCTCTTCCAACTCTTCGTACTTGAACTTGTCCTAGTTGTCTTCCCTGGCCTCTCCCTCCTACTCCCCTTACTCTCTGTCCATTGTTGGCATTCACTGTTCAAACAGGTAATCTGACCTTTGACCTATGTATAGGTCTACTGTATACTAAAGCAGTGACTGGTTAGTGATCAGTTAAGCCATTAGTGTTTGCACATGTGAGGAGTGGGTCTCTGACCTGGTGAAGAAGTGTAGCATTTTGATTGATTGGGTTTGGAAAAGGAAAGCAGGTCACATCCTGTTAGATTTTTGTGTCTTAGGTAGTGAATTGTGTGTAGTGTTTTTGAAAAGAAAAAAACTATTTCAGTCATTTAAAACTGAGTGAAAGGCTGAGAAATAGCTTCTGGTTTTGGAGATTTGAGGTGAGGTTTTGCTCTTTGAGTGAGAGATTCCAAAAATCGTGTGACATATAGACATTTTGTGTGTAAGCAGTTGGAAAAAACTGTAATTGTTATATCAAAATTATTTCTAAGGACAATTCAGTAGTCGCTGGATATTGGTATGGAGATGAGCAGGGAAGAGGAGGGGGAGACACAGTACTCAAGAGCAGGAATGCAGGTGCAGAGGCCGTGGATCAATCCACTATAGCAGCCACAGCTAGGCAGGCAGGGTGCAGAGCTGGTCAGGGGCTGGGCTCCAGCCTGGCGGACATGACTCGCCATTACTGACCGTTCCAGCAATGTGTGTTCCAGACCGCCCGCTCCTGCCTGCAGCAAAGTTTAAACTGTCCACTCCTGTGAGATTTGCACTGGTCCCAAGGGATCTGCAGAACCCCAATCTCAATGCAGTCCTCTAATACATACCTGTTAGTTATTATGAAGCAAAATTACTTTCTCCTCCTTATTTTCCTCCTCCTTCCTGAATTTACAGTTATATCGCTGCAGTTTGAGTCCTCCCCCGTGTTTGTGCAAATGAAAAGATTAGGCCAAATGCATGGCATAAAATAAAAAGTACCCTATTTAAAAATTAATACAACATAGTAGTTAAGTAGAAAAATAGGCCAGTTTGGAACAGTACAATGTCAAGTTCAGTCCTCAGCGAGGGATCTTGACCTGATGAGCATAAAACCCAATGATATCACAACTTGCTAATAGAGATAATGTGTTGCAAAATAACAACCTGATAAAGCATTCCTTTCTCACCAGTTGAATGGGATTTTTGTTTCTGAACATCAGTGCACATCTTCTCGATACCAGGGCTGCAAGATGTAACTTAAATCTTGACGCAAGGCTGCAGGCTCTCATCTGTGAGGCAGGAGTGATATTTTGACTTTATGTAGTTCATGCTTAACAAAACTTGCGCTCACAAGTACGTTGATCCAAAGATGGACAGGACTCCAAATGTATATTTCTTCATGTTGACATAGCTGTCGGAAATAACATTCCATGTTCCAAACACAAGTTTGTCGGGTTTTGGAAGTTTCTCAATGTCGCTCCATTCGTGGTTTTGAGCGAAAATAGCCTTCTAATAGGCAACATCTTCAAGATCAGCTGTCAGGCCTTTGAACTTAAATAGCCATATGTCTTCGTCGGCTATGTCGGCTTGTTCCATGTCAAGTTCGGCAGACTTACTCCAGTGAATGCAGACATGTTTAACAGGGATGGGTCTATGTCCTGGACTGGCGACTTGTCCAGGGTGTAACCTGCCTTTCGCCCTATGTAAGCTGGGATTGGCTCCAGCCCCTCGCGACCCTGCACGCAGGATAAGCGGCTGACGATGGATGAATCCAGTTTGCATTCCAATGATCGCACGTTGAAAATAATCACAGTTGATGTGGTTGTGTTCTCTGAACTCTCTCAGAGAGGGGAACTGCGAAAGCGTGCCTCTCTGTAGATCTGTCACCAACACTGTCAGTTTGCGCTCAAATGCTAAAACATCTTCCAGCAGCTGCTGGGCCATGTTCCCCTTTTCCTGGAGACTTTTGTTAAGTGTGTTGAGGTGAAATGTCCACCATGAAGTGTAACTTCTCCAGCTGATCGTGATCTTCCAGTTCTGAATAGGTCTGGTCTTTGCTTTGCAGGAAGGTTTTCACATGTTTAACACAAGCAGCAAACTGTATCAGGACTTCCCCTCTGAACAGCCACCGGACTTTGTTATGGAGCAGGAGTACCGAATATGTGCTGTTGACCTCATCTAGCAATGCACAGAACTGACGGTGGTTTAAGCCTTTTGCCATTATTTTGTTCACCATCTGGATGACAAGGTCAATCACATCCATGTTGGACTATATATATTTAGTAAGACCAAATATCTTATCTATCCAACTTAGAATGCTCGGCACAGGCTGTTCCCGTACATCAACAAAGTCTTACAATCCATGTTTCTACAACATTCTCACGGCTTTCTGTGCTGCTCAGAGTTTCTACCCTCAGCTACCATCCATCTCTGTCATGTTTGACATTTCCATCCATTTTTCAGACACTCTAATCTACCACTTTAAATGAAACAAGACTCACCGTCTGGTCTACCTCGACCCATCTACCCCTTTCAACTAGACTTGTATCTAAGCACATAAAACCCTATACATGGCAATCTCAAGTGTAGCCAGGTACGCTTCCTCCAAGACCCTCTGTTTCAGAGGCAGGCATTCTCCTGCATCCTTTATGTCACCCCCCCGCTGCAACCTAACCTTGACATGTGGAAGACTGCCTTGTGTTTGTTTTTTTTGTTCCCTGGGTGTGGCTGCAGTTTTGGTTTTGGGCCCTTTTCCCTTTCTCTCGTAGACCTGCAGGTTGCCGGGAGGCGTGTCGGCTGCGAGGGGAGCTGATTACACACACCTGCACATGATTTGCACTCCCTCGGGTTCCTGCCCTATTTAAGCAGCGGCCTGACATCCTGTCCTCGCCGGATTGTTAAGTCGTTTCAGTACGTCTTGGTTACCAGCTCACTTGATTAGGAATTATACCTGTACTATGCCCGTTTGTTAAGCTGACTACTAACCTGTGTTTCCTGTGCTCAGGATCTCTACCGGACCCGTCCGAGACCAACTCACCTTCCCCGCCTCCTGGATCTCACTCTCCTGCCTTTTACCTGTTTGCCTCTCTGCCTGGACCCCATCAGCTTCCTTCGCCTGCCTGCTCTGCCTGCTCTGCCTGCCCTGATCCCCGCAGCCGCCACCAGCTCTTTAGTTCAATAAATCTCTGAGAACCAGCTCTAGTGTCCAGTCTATTCCTGGGTCTGACACTTGTTGTGACACTTTACCTACATCCGCAATGATCCGAACGATATTAGAAATGCCCACACAAATCTTTCCATTTAAACTTTGTTTCTGGGGCCTTTGTCCGAAGCAGAGCACGTGACAAGACAGCTTCCCCACTGATTCTCGACTTCCCTCATTCCATCTTTCTCTTCCATCATCTATCCACTACCCTGATTTTTCTCCCTCACCCGCCCCTTATCCTTTCATTTCTCTATTGTTACCCCCTCATCCCTACATCCCCACATCCCATCATCCCTCTACCCTCACAACTTCATCCTTCATCCTTCCTTCCAGACCTTTAATCCATCCCTCCTACATCCTCTATCCATCATATATAATAAAATGTTATTGCAATGGTCTTTGTTAGTGAAACCACTGTTTTCTCTTCAAATAGAGGTCGGACTATATTTCACTGGAAAATGAGTTATAGGTTTCTGACAGTCTCTCTGCTCATCCAAACTGCATACCCCTAACTGATCTCCACAGGGTATAAACTAAAGAAAAATGCAGAGTGAAAAAAACAACTTGTCTAAATTGAGTCTTTAGTTTATTTCTGGGTTAAATCGGTCTGGCAACAGCTTCTCACCACAATCTGAATGTTGTTTCTGACTGTGATTTTTTTTTTTGTGGTTTAGATCATGCCAGTTTTAGCTGGAAATTACAGCTTATGTGGTGTCAGTGGAGGGCAGCCCTGAAGACCAGGGTTTGGCTGGGAAGGAATGGTGCAGCATCACAGCAACTGTACTTAGTTGCGTAAGTACGGCAATATGGGCACAGCTGTTTACCATAAATATTGTTGATTATACAAAAAAATAAAAAGAAGATGCCCACAAACCAACAGCAAAAGGCTGTCATTGTTAGGATGTAGATATGGCTGCCTGCAGAATCTGAACTGAACGCTGCACTAATCAATATTCTTATATGAACACTGGGTAAAATGACCATGTGTAACAGTCTATTTTATTTTAACTAAAGTGAAGAAAAAGGGTATTTGGGGATGTGTCAGTTATACGATATGTGTAACTGATACATTGTTTGGTAGCTTATTCAGCAAGCCAATGCTTGTAGATAAGAAGGAGACATTAGCGACAAAGTTAATGTGGGTTGTTGCTCAAAGTCTCATGCTCATTTGTTTTGTCTCAGGCTGCTGTGTAGCCCTCATAACATTGATTTTAAGGCATAAGTGCAGAAGTAAGAAATAAATTCAACACAACCATCCACAATCTACACACTACGTTAGGTTAGAATGTTTCCTCAGAGATATGCAGTCAGCAGTACCCTCCCTATTTATATGTAGTGAGTTAAATATAGCCACACACAAATAACTAGTAATTGAGGCCTTTAAAGTGTCTTTCTATAAATCTTTTTCAAACACAGGGTAAAGTCTCTGTGGCTAGATGAATGATTTGCTACACTGAATACATATAACAGACAGGCTGCTGATGTCATCTGTTATGATAAAGCTGAAACAGTTTTGTAGGGGTTGAAGGCTGAGGCACCAGCTGCCTCGACCCACACACACACATCTACATTTTAGTTCGGAAAACAGTCAACCTATTATACCATCCTGCAGACATGGATCAACATTAGCAATGATCTTGACTTGCTTTTGGTACCAGGTACTTTTCTAAAGTTTTGAATTGCAGATAGTAACCTCTCAATATAGGTAGGATTCTTAACTTAACACACAAACACAGGAACTCTTGCAGGATCCTTTCATCAGCAAACAAATGTCTGCAATTCATTAATTAACAGGCTGGCATTTAAAAAAAATTTGGGGGTTGAGTGAATAAAAAAATTGCCGGTGCCAACGATGGTAAGTTACTTGAAATTGGCAGGTTTGTGCAGAATGTGTGGATCGCACGAGTGATGATTCTAGTGATGATTCTCTCTGACCAATAAGTGGTATGCATAAGTACACAAAACAAAGCATAAGCGGTATGCTTTGTATGCTTTGTTTTATACTCAGTTTTCCCTCAGCTCACTTGGAACCTCGACCGAGGTGGTACCAAAAAAGTACCAGGTACTACTCACAACTTTTGACACTGGAAAACTATAAAGGAACGGTTTCAAATGAGTCCAGTAGAGCAACACTGTAGCATGCAGTGCAAATATGGCATCAGTTTTGGTCTCTACCAATTTGCCAAGGCTCTTTAGCTGCTGAATTCTCCACTATGTTCACCAGTTAGTCTCTTAACTGTGTCTGTCTGCTGTTTGATGCTGGACAAGTAATGAACAGTAGATTGATCAGAGCTTTTCACCTAAAAGATTAGACTGAACAAAAACAGTAAAATTTAGGCTATAAGACCATTGCAATGAGATGCAGAATCTGTTGCTAATTCTGTGTGGATTCATCACAAGTGACCTCTATGACATTACACATAGTCATTTGTTACATTGTTACAAAAAATATTGATTTAGTGTAGCTTACAGTTTTTATTACTTGAGGATGTAGAGGAACTTTTGAAATAACAGCCTGTATTCTAACCTTGCTGGCATTGCTGTATATCTGTATACCAAGGAACTGTTGGTTCCCCTGAAATTTTACCATTTGAGTGGAAAAGCAACATGGTATAGTAAAATTAACAATTGCAAAATATTCTCACACAAACCTGCATGGAATCAGATCTAAATTTCACATTACAATAGATATGGAACGGCCTCCTATCAACAACCACTGGAGGACTGATCAATTATATAATCATGGTGACTGTAAATGTCCGTCCACAAATAAATAACTCTTCAATTCTGTTTACCAAATATGAAAATCATATTCTTTTTACAATATTTTTATATTTAGTAATTTTTGTATCTCAGTGGCACATGGCACAAGTGCAGTGTTTAGTAGTACACAGAGTATTGTTTCTGATATTTGGAGTATTCATGACCAGAGACATGAATGCCCGTACAAAATTTCATGGCAATCAATCCAATAGTCATTAAGATATTTTAGTCTGAATCAAAGTGGTGGACTGACAGACCAACAGACTGACGGACAATACCATCCATAGAGCCATGCCACACGCATGGCTAAAAACTAAAGCAACAAAACATTCAGATATGTATTTGTTAGAAGCCATGGCTCTCACAAAGATAAGGGGATGCAATTGGTCAGACATAAATCACTCTTTAATTTGCATACATACATAAATTGCATGCAGTAAAAGGGGAAAACCACAACTTTACTCCAGAAATACGTTAATGAAGTAAGGGTGTCATTAGTCAGGGACATGGTCAGCATATACTCTCTGTAGTTGCTCAATTACTGCTATCACACTTCAGCTCTTGTGACATATTGTGTAACAGTTGAGAATTAATTTGCAGTTTGCTCTCTGTAAATAGAAAAAAGCAATGGTCACCCTCTGATCCCAACAGTCGCCTCAGAATGAATCAAGGCCATGTGTATGTACATATGTCCACATCGCTGTTTTGGAGTGCTGCACGCACATGTAAGGAGGTATTTACTAAGCATGCATACCACACACACATTAGCAGATGTGGGCCTCAGAACATTCAATCCTTCTACACGATATTCAGCATGCTGGAAGGTTTCCTGAGGGTTGTGATGCCTTGGACCTGCTCGTAACAGTCAAACAAAGAGAAAAATGGTGTTTTTTGTTTCACCAGCATCTTATAAGTTAGCTTTTGGTTTAGAAAGAGTCCATTAAACTTCTCTTAAAACCTAGTCAGGCTCTGAGCTGTGTCTTTGTTTAGTTGTGTGGAAGCTAAAGGTTCATCTTTACTAGTAGAACATAAAGGGATATTACGTAACCAAACAAAAAGTAAAGTTAAAACAACCTGAGCTGTCTGGCTACTAAGACAAAACTTTACACAAGAAAGGCAACCATATCTAAAAAGTGTACTATACATTACAATATTATTACAACAGTTCTTAATTGGAATGTGCAAAGCATGGTGGGTGAATAAACAATCTAAAAATGTCCCAAGTCTGTGAGTCACTATCTAACATTCCTCTGTATTAAAAATGAGTCAAAAGAGATCACAGTTAATAACAACTTAAACAACTTAAAGAGTAACTTAACATCAGGATGAAAAGTAATGTTTCATGGTGTCAAGACAGCCCAACAATGTACAGAGCCTTTAGCATCTCATCTGCAACTGGCGCCTTGCCGCCGAGGAGCCTTCTGGAGTGTACTATACTGAATGTGCTGTATTTTATGATGTTGAGATGCCAAGTGCTTTAGCTGCAGTTCCTCTAATGGTCAGCAAATACAGACTCTAACTGTGACCAAACAAACCAAATATTGAGGGTTTCTGGGCGGCACAGTTGTGTACAAAGTCAACGCAAATAGACTTGAGACGCAATTTCCTGTCAGGCGGTGCAGAAGGGGCACTGTCTGCGACACAAGTTGAAATTCTCAACTTTAGTGAGAAAGTTGCATGACTCTGTGTCGCGATAGCCTGCCAGCTTCACCGACAGCTTCAGAGCATTGTTTTCGCCGATAGACAGCTGCTTAGCTACGGGCAGCTGGGGAAGAAAGAGCTGGGAGTAGCGCTGCAGCTTTTGGACATATGAACACCCGTAGTCGGACTGGATTATGCTCTGACAACTGCGGCGTTTACTCGCAGGAGGAGCTCAGTGATCACTGCTTTTATTAAATTAACTTTTCACTTAAATTTTTGGGATTGAAACATTGATTTATTCACTCACACTTCTTGGCAGCAAGCCACTACATGTTTCAGCTTCCACTGTTGTTGTTAGCGTCAGTTGGCACCAAGAGCTCTGTTGGATTACTACTTCATATTTATATAAAAACCGGACACAACATGACATTGCTTGGAGAAATGAAAGAAATAAAAGTTGAACTACCTGGTGATTTCAGAAAATATGTCTGTTATATGTCTCTTTTTCCAGCTATTGTTGTACTTTACTGTGAACAAGTTATCACAACCCTGATCGATCCGAACCCCATTCAGAATACAAATTGAC